ATATATTGATCGGTGTATTGAGTGTAGCGTATAATTGATTGCTTCACTTCCGAGAGTGAAGCTATCGATGAGATCTCAAAGGGTGTGATTTGAGTGCCAAATAGTAATTTAGGGGACAATGAGATAAGCATTCCCAATATAATCAATATATAACATAATAATTTACTTTTCTTCATTATTATTAAAAATAAGGGTGCAATCAATTGAAGTTGAAAAACAGGGGCTAAATATGAAGAATTGCACTGAAATAAATTGTAATCAAGATTAGCTCTTAGTTAAACAAAGGATATGTTAAATATACTGACCAATTGATCAAAATTTGTGAAATAGTTATTAAAAAGTAGTATACTTTTTAGATAATTAGTTTTACAACCATTTTCAAACATTGGCTTTAATTGAGACCATAGAGGACCACATCCAGTCATTGATAATATATATACTGCAAGTATTGGCCCAACTATTCTTCTACTAAGTCTTAGCCATCGCAGCAAACAATAACTCAAATAATTTGAAAACGTGTGCTTTATTTGTTTGTGACCAAAATAATCGTACGATAATATAAATGTACTGAAATGCAATGTAAACGTCATGTCAATTAATTAAACATCAAATTAAAGTCATGTCAAACCTTATTATAATAAGAGTCTCATTAGGAAACGGTGTCCTCAACCAAAAATATCTATAATCAGTAAGTATTTCGTTTGGCACTGAATTATATATACTTTTAAGACCAATTGCGCCTATATGTAAAGGGGCTAAATATGATCTAGCAACAAATGTCCAAATGATATAAATCAATAATATTGTATCTGCGCTTATAATACGTTAGCGAAAACAACTCTTATCAAACGCACTTAAGTTATTGTTTCTTTTACTTAAATGTTTAACATTGCTACAAAACCAAACTGATAAAAACAACGGTATTTATAGATAGCGACATGACTAATAGTGGTTAATAATTAAAAAACTGAATACCAATCTGTAATTTAAGTAATAGTTGATTAAATTTACGAATAAAACATATTGTAATAAATACATTGCAATTATTTGTTTATCAGTTGTGTCTTCCCGTTTATATTTTACATCACATTCCGGTCCTATTCTTATAGGGAATCCTATCTTGTGTTTTAAAACTAATTGAATTTTAAGATACATATTAAATCGATTAGTAATATAAAACTAAATAAAATCTTATTATAAACTAATGATAAAGCTTACATTTGTTAACAATAGTTTCAATTTCCATTGCAGAACATTTTGAAGGAAAGCACAAACCAAAGCGAAATATTTCAAAATTGTGTTTATCATATTCAGTATTGAAAGCTAACATTAGCTTTAATTTATTAACATTTTGAGACAAAAATGACTTGAATTCGTTAATGTCTTTATTTTGTTTTATTGAAAAATTGAAAGTTTTTCTATTGAAAAGTAGAGATTCAATGAATGGCATTGGAATTAAAGGTTTTGCTAAACAATATTTGCCGTAAAATTGTTGATCATAAGAATGGCTATTACTTTGAACGGAAACACATTCATCGTATTCACCCAAACTGGATGTCACCCCCTCTATCAAACCCGAAGGCACTTTTCCCATCGAATCCATTACTATCGCATCAATTCAATCATCCAGATATCAAAAATAAATTCAAAATAAATCAATTACAATAATTCAAATTTTTATGTATACTGTATAAGTAATGTCAATAGTTCGCTTAAAAATTATAATATTTGGCGTACAAAATATGCTTACATTTGAGAGCCCAAAGTTGTCTCTGGTTTAAGGCATCATTAGTTATGGCCAATGCGGCCAAACATTCAACATTTATATTAATTACAGCCAACTCTTCAAAAACTCTCTGCGAGAATCGTTTATAAAGTGGTTGAATATAATGCAAACCATTGCTGTATAATTGAGCCAATAATTCAACTATTTTGCTGTTATTAGCATTGGATGGCATTAGAGAAGTGAATGAATTATTTGATTGTGTGTTCTCTTCATTATTAAAGAATTGGTCGACAAATAAGTTCACGGCTGAGACATCAGTTTGTTTATCAAATTCATGTTCATCATTATAATCATCGTAATCATTGTCGTCCTCACTCTTATCACTTGCACTTATAATCGTTGTATTTATTAAATTTGTGTTAATTGTGTCACTGTTTATAATTATATTATTGACAAAATGTGAAGATTCGTTATTTTCATTAATAAACTCAAACTTTGCAAGTGATTTCGCAACAGAAATATTACTATTGTTTTTAACATGTATTGCATAAATGTTATTAAAATTAAAACAGATATTTGTTAACAATATATACATGTATATAAAATACATTATAAGAGTATTACTTCTCGTAGACTTAACTTAACTCAACTTAACGTACGATATATTCATGCATAAAAAATAAAATATAATGTTTAAATACTGTATATTGTAAACTTAAATGAATTCTCTTATCAAATACTAAACACAAGTATTGTGTGTCTGTAATAAAAAAAACAAAATATGAACAAAACTTTTATATTTGGTTTTAATAACAAAGAAATAAAATATATTAAATATGCAAAGAAATAAAGAAAATAATTTGAAAAATTTAGACAATAATTGATAAACAATAAAGTAAAAGGAAAAGTACTTATATTTATTTAGTAAGACATAGACTAAGATTAAAACTTACATCAAATGATTGTGAATCCATTGAAATTTTTGCGTTTCATACCATGAATTTTGAATTGCAATAATAAATTCAAATTTTATGCAAATATATTTTAAGCAAACATTTTGTGTAAAATATTTACCTAAAAAATAATAGTAAAACTTTTCTACTTTTATCACTTCTAACACTTTTATATTTAGTTTGAATGATGGAAAAACTACAATAATTATAACAAATATTTAGTCTAATAACAAATGTTAATAGACTATTTTTGTTAATTCAATTGTAAAATTTAATAAACTCAATAATTATTTAGCAGCAGATTATGGATTGGGTTATAAATTATAACTTATAATTTAATTACTATATTTTTTGTAACCAATTTGGCAAATTTTAATTAAAAATACAATACATTTACATTTATTGTTTAAAGTTGCAGATAATAAAAATTAGAGTACATTTTGGTAGTCGCGTCTATGTTGAGGAAGATATTGCATTAGAGAAATAATTGATTTAAGTTATTTAAATATTTTTATAAAATCTTACTCTATCAAGGTAATACTATTTTAGGTTATTCTATTAAGTAGTATAAAATTGGTGATAATCAGTACAGCGATAGATATTTATGGCAACAAAAATAGTCAAACCAAAACATCGTTACAATTTGTAAATTCATTTTCTTTGTTATTGAATTCACGCAAACTATTCTCAACAAAAGCGACACGAATTATAAGCGCAGATACAATATTATTGATTTATATAATTTGGACATTTGTTGCTAGATCATATTTAGCCCCTTTACATATAGGCGCAATTGGTCTTAAAAGTATATATAATTCAGTGCCAAACAAAATACTTACTGATTATAGATATTTTTGGTTGAGAACACCGTTTCCTAATGAGACTCTTATTATAATAAGGTTTGATATGACTTTAATTTGATGTTAAATTAATTGACATGACGTTTACATTGCATTTCAGTACATTTATATTATCGTACGATTATTTTGGTCACAAACAAATAAAGCACACGTTTTCAAATTATTTAAGTTATTGTTTGCTGCGATGGCTAAGACTTAGTAGAAGAATCGTTGGGCCAATACTTGCAGTATATATATTATCAATGGCTGGATGTGGTCCTCTATGGTCTCAATTAAAGCCAATGTTTGAAAATGGTTGTAAAACTAATTATCTAAAAAGTATACTACTTTTCAATAACTATTTCACAAATTTTGATCAATTGGTCAGTATATTTAACATGTCCTTTTGTTTAACTAAGAGCTAATCTTGATTACAATTTATTTCAGTGCAATTCTTCATATTTAGCCCCTGTTTTTCAACTTCAATTGATTGCCCCCTTATTTTTAATAATAATGAGAAAAAATGAATTATTATGTTATATATTGATTATGATATTGATTATATTCGGAATGTTTATCTCATTGTCCCCTAAATTACTATTTGGCACTCAAATCACACCCTTTGAGATCTCATCGATAGCTTCACTCTCGGAAGTGAAGCAATCAATTATACGCTACACTCAATACACCGATCAATATATCACATCATTTGCATTGGGATTATTATTGGCTTATTTGATTCAAAAGAAGCATAATATTAATATTCATAAAAATCTAATTATTATGTTATGGATAATGTGTCCCCTCCTTAGCTTTCTGTCTATGATATGGGCTGAGAGTTTCATTCAAAACAACCAATTAAATGCAGAATATACACAACAAAATCAGTTGAATTTGATGTTATGTTACTCTATGGGCAAAGTAATGTGGTCTATAGGTATCGGATGGACAATATATGCATGCAGTACAGGCCGAGGAGGTATTGTATACTGTAAATCTAATTAATAACTAGAGTAAAATAACAACTTACTTGTTTAATGTAATATTTATAGGTTTTATGAATTATATATTTAACGTGAAATCTTTGGAACCGCTTTCTCGTCTATCAATAACAATATTAGTGATGCACTCACTTGTTATCAATTATCGTTTGTTTACAAGAAAACATGTATATGTAATGACCCACTCATTGACGGTAATGATATTTAACAATACATTTATTTGTTACTATTAATGATATTTAATTTCATTTGTTTTATAGATTCAAAATATTGTTATTGATTTTATAATCACAACATTTTTGTCATATTTACTTTATATTTTAATTGAATCTCCAATCGATAACTTAATTAAATTGTTTTCCAAACAAAAATATAATAATAAATTCAACAAAAAGAATTTCAGCAAAACTGATATAAGATTGGCGGACATTGAAAATGAAAACTGTGTTTTAAAGTACATATTTCCCAATGAATCTAATTCATAGATAAAATTCTATTAATGAATATGATGAATCCAATATTTAATTTCAATTTTAAATTATTTACGAATAAACATATTTATATATAATTTTATAATTAAAATTAAATGCTATAAATATAAAAACAAGAACTTAATTAAAGTAATATTTGTGTTTTTATAATTTGCTGGTAATTATAACTGCAAACTCGGATATTCAATATGATTGGTATACATAGATATCGCTCTATTTCTTCGTGTTTCATTGTGTGCTTAATTTAATTTAAATGTTTGATTTGATACAGTCTAATAAACCAACTGTATTAATATATTTTATTAATAATATTAATATATAATTAAATTATAGTTAAGGAATCATTCATCTAACTCAATCAAGCATTTTAATAATCAATAATATTTATATTAATTTTTCAATATATATTTTTATAATATGCATATGAATTAATAAGCATATTATTAACTACAGCTTATATTATTAAGCGTATGATTTAATGCATATCCAATCCTTTTATTTATTTGAATAATAATTATTGGTTTTATTAATGAAATCAATAAAAGAAATGTTTAAATTGATAATTCGAGAGAGAGAGAGAGAGAGAGAGAGAGTTGGAGGGAAGGGTTAGAAGGAGGGAGAGTTATAAAAAGGGGAAGAGAAAGTGGGTGAAAGCAATAAGGCTTTCTTCTAAATATCGATATAAACGCAATCCATTTGATGTCTTATAAGTATTTCTAAAAATTAATTGTCTGAACAGAAAAAACCTATTAATATGATGACCGGCCGCGCAGTTGGCGAACAGTTCTTCTAATCTTCACGTCTTAACATATTTTTTATATTTTAAAAACAGTTCTCAAATATTTTTATATAAAGAGTTTTATATTTTGTGTGTTTAAAAGTTTTGGTTAAATATTAATAATTATAAAAATGTCTGCGAAAAAGATTTTGTCCCATTGTTTGGATGAAGATATAGTGATCAGTGGAATAAGTGGTCGGTATCCGGAGGCCGACTCTACCGATGAGTTCGCTCACAATCTGTATAACGGAATCGATATGATTACCGAAGATAACCGTCGCTGGCCTACAGGTCTGTACTTTATTTTCATATTAATTTTTTGATACATTTTTAGAGAAATAAATTGTTTAGATAAATGTTAAAATAGTTTTGTAATGATTTGATGTAATTTTATAGTAATGTATTTGTGCTAATAGTTTAACCATATTAGTATAATTTATATAAACTTATAATTGCTAGAAGTTTTGGAAATTTATATCAAATAGTAATTATAGTTGATATTTGATTAATTATTTGTTAATTATGGAGATATTAAATAGATTTGTTTGGAATGAACTCTCGAATGGGAAAATTAAAAAATATCGATAAATTTGACGGACTTTTCTTCGGTATAATAAATACAATGTCGGATATTATTGATCCGCAATCGAGAATGGCTTTGGAGACCACATACGAAGCTATAATAGATGCCGGTATGACATTTGATATAAATAGACAATAAAAGCTAAACCTTTATATAATGTAAATTTTATAATAATAGGAATAAACCCTCAAACTCTTCGGGGTTCAGACACTGGAGTGTATATCGGGTTCTCATCGTTTGGTATGCCTGACGGCGCCCCCGAAGACGTACAGCCAGACTCTCAGAGCAATATGACTGAAACCCTTATGTGGTTACCCGGCTCTCAGAAGTGTCTGTACGCTAACAGAGTGTCGTTTGTGTTTGACTTTCACGGCCCGTCAATGATCATCGACACCGCCTGCTCTTCCAGTTTGGTTGCACTCAATGCTGCCGTCAATGATATGCGATTGGGTTTGTATTTGACACATAATGTACAAACTGTATATACAATTATGTACTCAAAGCAACTAATATAGCAACTAATCAATTGTGTTTAAATGACAGGAAAGTGTCGTCAAGCAATTGTTGGCGGAACTCAGATATGTCTTCAGCCGTTCTCTAATCAGATCTTTCAATCGACTCGTTTGAATGCTTTGGACGGCATTCCCAAAGTATGGGACGAAAAGGCCGATGGATTCGTTAGAGGAGAGACTGTTTGCTGCCTTCTTTTACAGAGCAAATCAAATGCAAAGCGTATTTACGCCACTGTTTTGAATTCAGGAGTCAATATCGATGGAAATAAAAGAATGGGAATGTTTTACCCCTCGGCCGAGAGTCAGGAAGAATTGATGATCAAAGTGTATGAAGAGGCAGACGTGGATCCGTTGGAAGTAAACTATTTTGAAGCCCACGCCACGGGAACTAAGGTATAATAATAATAATAATAATTAATAATATTTAATAATTAATTGTTAATTGAATGAGAGGTCGGGGATCAGGTGGAAGCTAAAGCAATATACAACGCCTATTGTGGAAAACCTAAACGAAACGGTACTTTAAATGTTGGACTCCTTAAGAGTAACATCGGTCACGCGGAGTGCGCCTCCGGCTTGTCGTCGGTCACCAAAGTATTGTTAGCCTTTGAGAACGAAATGCTTCCCAGGAATTTGCATCTGAATAATATTAAGGCAAATATCAAAGAGTTTTGTCCGCCTCTTAACCCAATCCTCGCTAATACCAAATACACTCCGGGTATGCGTTGTTATAAATGTTTTCAATTAATTAAATAATAATAATTATTATTACTTAAATAATATCTGAAGGCATCGCTGGAGTGAACAACTTTGGTGTCGGAGGAGTGAACGCCAATTGTCTTCTCGAACCTAATTATAAGGTTTGCGATGAGAATAGTCTTAAGATTGCCGACACTATTCCCAGGATTGTTAACATCTGTTGTCGAACACAACACGCATTGAATACTGTATTCAATTTTATTGAGAGTAATCCCCAAAAAATTACTCGAGATTTTCTGGCCTTATTGGCAGAAACTATGAGAATTGAGCCGTCGGTTAACTCGAGTGGATTTCCTTATAGAGGTATAAATCAAGTATTTATCAAATTCTTTAATTAATACTTAATTGTTGTCATTAAATAAAGGCTCAATGATTATTAAGCAATTGGCTAATAATCAATATGAATATAAGAAACAGTCGGCAATGTTTACAATCAAAACTCAAAGGCCGTTATACTTCTTGTTTCCCGGTTTGGGCGGACAATGGGTTGGTATGGCTAAGGCTTTGATGCCTATCAAGATATTTGCTGATAAGATTGATGAATGCCATGAAGTATTAAAACCTTATAACATAGACTTAAAACATCTCTTATTATCTGATGACAAGAACTCAATGTCTAATATGACGAACAAATTCTGTGCCACAACTGCTATAGAGATAGCATTATGTGATGTCATCAATGTCTTGGGCATTACTCCCGACGGTATTATTGGCCACTCCTTTGGCGAAATAGCAGCCGCTTATGCCGACGGATGTCTTAACACACGAGAGGCGATGTTTGTTACCTATTATAGAGGACTTGTGACCGAAAGTGATAAAAAGATACCGAAAGGTCTTATGGCTGTCGCCGGTCTCTCGTGGGCTGAAGCGAAGAGATTGTGTCCCAAAGGAGTGAGTCCTGT